CCTTCTGGCTTTTGATCTGTGACTCCCGGCCCAGAGCTCCCACCCCAGCCTGTGAAACGCCCCACAGGGCGGCACAGGCCCCAGAGACCCCAATGGGGAGAACATCCCCCAACCCAGCTCAGTTTCGGATCACTGGGGCTCCCAGGGGGCTGTATGGGGGTCAATATCCCCCCAGGAGCTATAGGAACTGGCATCCTGCTGGAGAGGGGATCTCCCCATAACGCATGTCCCAGGAGTTGGAGGGGGCACATGGAGCTCACCTGTGACAGTGATGGAGACGGGGCGGCTGTCCGGGGACTGGATCTTCCGCCCAGATGGGCGTATCCAGTACGCACAGGTGTACGACCCGGAGTCCTCCGGCCCTGTGATGCTCAGGGCATGGGCACCGCTGCTCCCGGGTGTGATCCTCCATCCCCTGTCCCTGGAGAACTGGAATCCGGCAGCCACTGGTGCCCCCGATGGAAGGGAGCACGTGAGTGTGACAGACTCCCCGGGGAGGTACACGGGGCGTGGGGGGCTCAGGGAGAGGGATGGAGCTTCTGGGGGGGCTGAAAGAGAGAGGAACAATCCCTCACCCTCAGCGTCCACCGCAAAGCTCTCAGCACTGTACCCGGGAGATCGGGGCGTTGTCCTGGTTCTATGGGGGGGACGTGATGCAGCCGAGTGCGGAGCAGATCCCAGGTGTGCCAAGCCCCAGCCTGGGGCTCTAACCACTAGGCAGCACTCCCGCCAGGACGGGGAGCACAAAGAGGGTCCAGCAGAGAAAGTGGCTCCGGGGGGGGGTTGTTCAGCACTGCAGGGGGCTGGACCGCCTGCTGCCCTGGGGCAAGGGGGATGACTTTCCATGCATGGGGGGGGCAGAGGGAGCCAGGCGGATGGGTGGGGTTGGGAGTGAGTTTGCAGGGAATGGGGGGATCCAGGGCAAGGGAGGTGGGGAGAGACCCAGGGGAGAGGATACCCCCCATATCCCATTGCATCCCCCCAGGGAAAGAGGCCTCACCTTGCACTGATAGGGACACTGGCCGGCTTCTCTCTGATGGGATATGTCGCCCGGATCGCAGGATCCAGTATGCACAGGTATACACCCCAACTTTCCCCATCTCGGCCACGATCTCCAGCCCAGCGCCCCCAGCCGGGGCAGGGACCTCGTCATGGATCAGCCTCTCCTGTTCCCCATAGAACCTGTATCCCTGCAGCCTGTCGCTCCCTGGAGCCGAGCACCTGAGGGTCACACGCTCCCCTGGGAGATAGAGCGGGTGTGCGGGGTGCAGGGAGAGCGTGGGGGATGCCGGTGGGGCTGGGATAGGGAGAGAGGAGATCACAGGGGGAGGGGGAATGAGGGAGAGTTTAGAGTGAGAAATACCCAGCTGAAGAGCCAATGGCCCCTCCCCACTGGGGGAGCTGCCCCCTCCCATGGTGAGTCTGGCCCCTCACCCCGTGTCTCCAAGCAACCGTCCTGTAACCCGCTTCACACCCTCCCCACCATGCGCCCCCAACACCAGCACTCAGTTGCTGCACTTGGGGGGCAGCATCCCACTGGGCTGTGAATGCCAGTGATGATGGGGGGCAGCAGGATGTAGCGCTGGGGGGCTGGCGGAGAGCAGTAGCTGGTGGGAGCTGAACGTTGCTCAGAAGTGGCTTGTTGGGGAGACCTCGGAACCTGGGCATCATTGGGGCAGACTGTGGGGCCCAGACTGTGGGGCCCGGGTTCCCAGATCTAAGACTCGCATGAGGTACCTGCTAGAACAATCACTGGGCCCCACCATGATCCAGATCAGCCTTTCTGAGCCAGTGTGGCCCCCTCTTTTCCCTCCCCTTCGATCGGCCCCACCAACGCTGTCTCCCCCGGGCGAGGGTAACAAACAGCCCTTTTTATACCCGGCCAAAGGGCACTCACCCTGCACAGTTATATAGACCTTGTTACTCTCCGTGGATGGGATCTCCTGCCCAGACTCCTTTCTCCAGTACTGGCAGGTGTAGGGCCCCTGATTCCCTGTCTCGGGCCTGAGCTCCAGCCAGGCTGCCCCGCTGGGAGATGGGAGCTCCTCCGGGGTCTGGTCGCCTCTTCCCCTGTAGAATCTGTATCCCGTCACTGCCTCGCCCCTGGGGGCTGAGCAGCTGAGGTTAACACGCTCCCCCTGGTAATACACAGGGTACTGGGAGCCCAGAGAGAGTGTGGGGGGCTGCAGGGGGCCTGGAACAGAGGCAGAAGGGGAGACAGCTGCGGGAGGGGAAAAGGGGCTGGTGAGATCCTGAAAACAGTGATAAAAACTAGCCACATTTCCCTGCCCGCTGCTCTCCCCCAGCCCGTGAAACAGCACACGGCAGGTAACCCACAGAACAGATCATCCCTCACCACCCCGACATATCCTGCTATGTCTGGGGGATGCAGTACCTCCTGCTGCCACTGGGGGATCCTGGTGGGGTTGGGGGCTGGAGAGCTGCCTGCTGTCAGTGGGGCCTGGAGCGGAAGGGAGGGTATTGGTGGGTTTTGGGGGGTCTCTGTCATCTGGGGCCCCCCCATTTATCTAGGGCACCAGGTGGTGCTTGTGGGCATGAGAGACCCTAGCAGAGACCTCCCAGCACCCTTGCCCCACAAGCCAGGAGAATGGAGCATCACCGGTCACTGTGATGGAGACAGGGCGGCTCTCGGGGGATGGGCTCTCCTGGCCGTCCTGCTCTACCCAGTACTAACAGGTGTAGGTGCCGGCGTGCTCCAGGCCGAGCCGGGGGATCTGGTAGCTGCGGGAGGCCTGGGGGGCGGCCCCTAGAGCGCACATGGATGTTATACCATGGAAGAACCAGAATCCAGCCGCCCGGTCTGCAGGGGGGCCGAGCACGTCAGGGTGACAGAGGATCCAGCCGGGTACCGGGGACAGAGTTGGCTGTAAGGTTTCCTCAGGCACAGAGGAGTCTGGAGTCTGTGGGTGGGTGCGGGGGTGGGATGTGGGGTTAGATCTATGGGCACAGAGGGGATGTGGGCGGAGCTTAGATCCAAGGCAGACACCCCAAGCCGAGCTGGCAGGGTCACCCCGGATCTCCACCCAGCGTCTGAGCTCTCCGCCCTGACCCCCGACCCTGCTCCCAGGGGATCCTTCCTCCCGGATGGGCCTTGAACTCACGGCCTGCGGGTGGTGCCAGGTCCAATGGTGACAGCCTGGTGCCCACTTAGTGCCACAGCCCACAGCCTGCAGTCCTGGCACGGTTCCCCCAGGACGAGGGTCCCAGCTGTTCGCTGGCTGGGGGCTGGAGAGACCCCCAGGGTCTGTCTGTGCCCAGCATGCCCAGGAGACAGTCTGCTCATCCCAGGCCTGGCTCTGCTGGGAGGGCCCCAGCCCCCTCCCCACTTTCCACCCCCACCCCACCCCATGTCCTGGGAGTCCCAGAGAAGGAGCCGACTCAGGGGCTGTGGTCAGAACAGACAGCTCAAGAGAGACACGAGAAATGGGGGGAAGGGACAAGAGATGGCACCCCCCAGTCAGCCAGTTCCCCCCATGGGGTCATATTGAAGCTGGGGTCCCCTAAAGGGGAAAGGCCCCGTTCCCCACCCCGAGCCAGCCAGTCCCCCCTTCCAACAACGACACCCACAAACCCCCGTGCACAGACCAGGGGATGAACCGGGTGCCTCGGTCCCCTCGGACGACACCAGCTGGGGGATGATCTGCAGCCAGGCTGTAAGAGAGGAGACAAGAGGGGGGTGAGAGCTCTGGGGTGGGACGGGTGATGGGGGGCAGGAGCGAGGGGTGTGGGGCAAATGACTCTGGATACTGGATTTACAGTCCATCCCACTGTATTATGGGGGGGAGGGGAAAGAAAGAAAGAAAGATTGATTCAGTGAATGGGGCGGGGGCTGGACACGGATGATGGTCAGTGGATGGGGCCGGGGCTGGCTGTCAGGACACTTGGGCTCTGGTCCCACTAGAGCTGGGCCTGGGAATGTTTCAGGTTCAACAGCCTGTCAGTGGGTCGCAGGCCGGGCTCGTGGCAGGCTGCAGGGGATCCCGGTCTCCTAGGCCAGGCCTTCCCGCTGCCTGCCGGGAACCAGCTGGCCCTGGAGCCCGGGAGCTCTGGGGGAAGAGCCTGGCCCATGGCAGGGCCCCCAGACCTGCTGGGTGAAACTGACATGATTCTTATCCGTTTCACTGTGTGTATGCGACGGGGGGGGGGGGGGCGGGGAGGAGCCCTGATCCATGTCTGTGCAGAGCTCGGCACAAGGGGGGCCCTGATCTCGGCCGGGGTCTGGGCAGCGCCTGGCCTGATGGGGCCTGTTGCTCTAGGAAAGTCCCCATCAAACAACACACTTACGATCTGTGCTGCAGCTCCCTGCACAGCAGCGCACACAGTGCTGCATTGCAATGGGGAAACTGAGGCTGGGTCTTACCCAGTGGAGAATAACCAATGGCAGAACTAGAGCCCGAAGGGGGCGCCAGCCCCCACGAGCTCGAGGAAGGGGCTGCTGCCTTTGGGGAGCAGGGAAAAGCCCCAGGGAAGGGGACCCAGGTGGGTGTGAGAGTCTGCCTGTATGGAACTGAACATGCTGAAAACAGTGAAACTCTGAGGAACCCAGGCGTCCGATGTGCGGAGAGCTGATGGAGGGAGAGAGGGAATGAGACAGGGGCCGAAGGAGGATGGCAGAAGTGAAGGAGGGAACGAGGCAGGGAGCTGCAAGAGGGGTGCAGAGGTTGACTCAGAGGGAAAGAACAGACACAGAGGGAATCAAACAGGGGCTGAAGGAGGGGAGCAGAGGGTGTTACCTAGCAGCTCTGTGTTCTGGGGGAACCGGGGCGCAGTACCCAGCCTGTCTGACTCACGAAAGACCGCCCCCCCGCCTCTGCTTGAACCAAATCTGCATCAGAAGAAAGACTGACAACAAGCAATGGAAAGGCCGTGTTAGACACACCTAAACCCCTGGCATAAGGGTGACAGGATTAAGGAAACTCCCCTGGCCCCTGCCTTGGAGATGGGACAAGGAGGCATCTCCATTAGCTACAGAATGGAGACCAGAGATTCCAAGGCAAGAACCACAGGGAGCTCTGGGACCAGTAGGGTGACCAGATGTCCCGATTTTATAGGGACAGTCCCGATTTTTGTTTTTTTTCTTATATAGGGTCCTATTACCCCCTACCCCCATCCCAATTTTTCACACTTGCTGTCTGGTCACCCTAGGGACCAGCAAAGCAGGGAAGCAGTGCATGATGTGGGATCTCTGCTCCAGATGCTAATGAACCCACACCTGCACACACCAGGTCAGTAGTTATCAGACAAAATAGTGAAGCTCCCTAACTGCATTGTGAGCTCCCTCCAAGGAGCACCGCCCACAGCCAGGAATGATCAGTTCCCATGTCTAGTCTGAACAAAACTACTTTGGTATCTCCCTTGTTTACAGATAAACAAATCTAGTGTCTCCCTTGAACCATTGTTGTTTCCCTACAAAACCCCGTTCCCATGCTCCAGTAAATGCTCTGATGCCTGGATCCAAAACCTGCATCAGTTCCATTGGGACTTCATCTTCTCCTGACTGATCGGGCTGGGGGCTCTGCCTGTCTCCAGCACTCCGGACCCCCAGCTACCACCATCATCTGGGATCCCCGATTGATTGAAGCTTCATGGAGTGGTGAGAACCCATCTCTCTCTCTCTCTGTTTAGCCTTCTGACCCTCACTCTGTGACCAGTTATCGTTTTCTAAACCTGACTCTTATAATCAAATTTAGGTTCGATTTAATATTATCACTGTTTTGTTTGTCTGGCTCCCCTATGGTTATTACCTGGCAATAAACAATTCTCATGATTAAGCTGGTGGCTTCTCTCTCCTTCTGTCTCTCCCTCCCCCTCGTGGGTGGGTTTTTTTGGTTTCCTCATTCGCTCTGCAGCAACGCTCCTCGTACCTACGCTAAAGATCCCGGCAGCGCCCAAAACTCCTGTGGGGTTTGCTCACCAAGTGGGTTACTGCCAGAACAACTGTAACGTGAGTGGGGATAGGGACGTGCTGAACCTGGGACGTGTGAGGGTGGCAGCTTGGAAATGCTGCTTGACCCAGTCTGCTGAGTCCAGGGACGTATAAGGGGTCAGCTTGGGAGTGCTGATTAACCCGGTCCTCTCAGACGCTCTGTTAGTGTGTGTGTGTGTGTGTGTGTGTGTGTGTGTGTTCGTCTGATTCTGGGGCTGGAAGAGCCCAGCCCTGGGGAACCTGGGTCCTGCAGGATCGCTCCATTGGGAGGGGACTTGCAGCAGGGAGAAGTAGAGCTCTGTATGAGAACACGTGACACAAGCAGCATATTAATAGAAGTAC